ATATCACCAATGTCGCAGCAGTGCCAGAACTGGATCCCATACCTTAGAGACCACCCAGATAGCCAAGAACAGCCTGAACGTAAGCACCACAGATTGACAATGAGAGTCCTCACTGCAAAGAGTAGGAGCCACTGAAGTACCTTGTAGATGAGAATGTGCAGGTAAGTGTCCTTGATGGCTATGGACATCTGATAAATAGAAATCATCATCAAAGAGATGATGCCATCTCGAACTGCCGAATCCACACATGGAGAGTAAGGCCTGTGCATGCAAAATTGTGCAAACCCTTGTCTTTTGTGGGACCATGAGAAGGTCTGAGTAAAAACCAGAACATTCTGGTTCGGGCACAGAAGCTATCACTCCCTGGCTCTGAGATCGTACACTACCCCATACAGGCTCGAAGACCCAATGATGGAATTGGAGGAGAGGAAATATCCCAGTTGCAGCCAGTTCACAGCCTCACCTGTCTAGCAGGAGGAAGGTCCACAGCCCGAGAGCTAGGGAGAGCAACCCCCACCCTAGAAATGGGTGGGGACAAACCTGCATGTTGAAGAAAACTGGTGAACGGGCTTGGTGGACATTTGGGTCTAAGAGCCCTCAGTTTCACCCATGGGAGACCTGAGGACGTGGAGCCAATGTCAGAGTAACCAGGGGAGTGAAAAACCATGTAAGAGTAGTAGGACTGAATTCCCGGATTTATGAGTCATCCATTTCCAAAATGGTTCCTTTAACCTTTCAGCCTGCGGGAGGAAGATATGCTTGTTTTTTCCATGAGGAACTGTATGATGTTGTCCAAGGTAGCACTGAAGAGAAAGTCACCCTGGAGGGGCAGATCTGCCAAGGCCCTTTTAGAACTCTGGTCAGCAAACAAGCCAAAGCACCACCATCGAAACAGAGAGCTTGAAGAGGAGTAAGGCAGCAGTCAGGGATGCAGAACATGTTACCTGAGGTCCCCACCAACTGGTCCACCAGAACCACATACAGCTGCTTCATATACCTGGTGGACAAACCTCGTTGCAGAACCTTAGCTCAGTAGACATGTCTACTTACCGATCCAGTAGACATGCAGGTAAGGCTCCCATGACGGATCCTCCTCACCATCGAAGTGGGGGGATGTCAGCCAGGGTAGCACTGTGACATAGACGTTAGGAGCCTGGTCATATGTGCCCCTGTGAAATGTTTAACTCTCTGGCCTACCCCGGTCCTGGATGAGGCTTAGTCACGGCTGACCAAGCGCTTGGCTAAAGGTCTGCATGCGTTGGCGGCTGGGGTGACCACTAGATCTAGATTATCCAGCCCATTTCCCGGACTGGGTGTTGAATAAAGATCTCCGCAGGAATATCCCAGGAAAAAAAAGTCTATAGAACCAAAAGGTCCCAGTAATTTTCTGTTTACGAATGAAAATCCATTGAAAATAATGCCTCGGTTTACAAAATTTTTTCGCAATATGAACGGATTAATTGGTTTTCAATGCATTTACGATTTTTTTTTAATCATGTTCCCGTACAGTACTATGCCTTTAAAGTGCACTTTATAAAGAGTTTTGAACAGATAAGACTTTTTTTTTACCTTTTTCTGACCTCCGGAACAGATTAATTGGTTTTCAATGCATTTATAAATTTGTTTCGCAACACAAACGGATACATTGCTTTTCAATGCATTTACAAATTAATTTTTAATCAAGTCCCTGTACAGTATTATCCCTTTAAAGTGCACTTTATAAACAGTTTTGAACAGATAAAATACTTTTTTTTTACTTTTTTCTGACCTCCGGAACAGATTAATTGGTTTTCAATGCATTCCTATGGGAAACTGCGTTTCGGTTTACAAATTTTTCGCAATACGAAAAGTCCTGCAGAACGCATTAAATTTGTAAACCGAGGTACGCCTGTATATGTGCACACTGATCAGCCATAACATTATGACCACCCACCATAACCCATGGAGACATGGACACCACTAGACCTCTGAAAGTATGTTATGGTTGCTGGCACCAAGCCTCTAGTAGCAGATCCTTTAAAGTAGAAGACTGGCCTAAATCTATCTAAACTTAAACCTGCTCCCACCCCCATTCTAATCCCTATTCTAACTAGCCTGTAAAGGAAAGATGTGTATACTTAATCTACTTAATCTTAATCGAATACCTAATCTAAGGGCTCTCCGTTCACATGATCAGCTAACAGCATCAGCTTCAGGAGAGAGGCAGGAGAGCGAACAACAGATGCCCCAGAGTAAGCCTATGGGTGCCATCTGAAGCTGCTGGCGAGAGATCAAATGACAGGACCTGAGTGCCCCTAAATTACACATCCAAGTATAAGGCTTAGAATGCGGGTGGGAGCAGGTTTAAGCTTAGATAGGTTTACACTGGACTTCTTCTTTAAGCCCTGTCAGTTGTGAGGTGGGACCTCTATGAAACGGACTTGTTTTTTCAGAGCATTATCACGTACCTGGTGACAGAGGCGAATGAAGAGAGGGCTTCCCTTGCGGCTAAATTCCAGACTCCTCTGAAGGTGGGACAGCAGGAGTCAGGCCCAGAGTAGCACAGGTCACCTGTGGGAGTGCTTGTTTGGTGATCCACCCAGGAGCACGGCTGATACACTGAGATGGGGTCTGCAGGCAGGGGCGCCTGGGCGTGGTATGCAGGTCTTCCAGAGAAGAGAGGATCATAGGATAACCAGCTCGATCCAAGGTTGGGTGCCAGGCGGGGATCGGAGAAGACATAGTCAAAAGGGATAGCCAAGGTCATACACAGAGAGCAGGAGAGAAGATCCGTTAGACAAGCCGGGGTCAGGTCAGGGTTAAACAGAGCAGACAGGTCCAGGAGCAAGCCAAGTAGTTAACAGGAAATCACAAATCTGTATAGCACAGGAACAGGAACTTGGAAGGTACTTGGAAGCCAGAGATCAACCAGCACCTGAGAGTAGTGCAGGGCTTCCTTATAAAATCCGTTTGGTGCCAAATTTGAGCCGATGTGAACTTCTGCAGCCATGCAAGGTACTGGCAGGACAGAGCCCTGACAGCATACTAAAGATGCTCAATTGATCTGAAGACTCTGGAGGCCCAGGCAACAATTCAAACTCATTGTTCTGTTCCTCAAACCATTCTTGAATTAATCACACATAGCCACCTTATTTCTTTGCTCTGTGGTCCAGTTCTAATGCTTGTGTGCCCATTGTAAGCGCTTTTGTCTATGGAAACAGGTCAGCATGGACTGGTTTGTAGCTATGCAGCCCCATACGCAACAAACTACAATGCATTGCATGTTCTGACACTTATCAAAACCAGCATTAACTTTTTCAGCAATTTGAGGTACAGTAAAGCTTTCTAATTAGATCGAAATACATGGACCAGCATTTGCTCCCCACATGCATCAATGAGCTTTGGCCATCCATCCATGACCCTGTTGCCAGTTCACAGGTTTTCCATCTTTTGACCACTTTTGGTAAGTCTTGACCACTGCAGACCAGGAACATCCCACAAGCGCTGTAGTTTTGCAGTTGCTCAAATCTTTATGCTTGCCAATTTTTTTGAGCTTTCAGCACATCAGCTTCAGGGACATTATGTTCACTTGCTGCCTAATATATCTTACCCACTTTCAGGTGCCATGGTAATGGGATAATCAATGTTATTCATCTTACCTGTCAGTGGTCATAATGTTATTGCTGACCAGTGTGTATATAATAAATGCACATGATGCAAATATTTTTTTTATTTTGAGCTCTCTGGCGCTGGTGATCCCTATTTTTGTAAATGTATTTTTTGTTATTTACAGGACTACAGGTTTTTTTTTATTAATCATAAAATATAATATATTGCATATTAATATTATTTGGTCCTAGGCTAGGTTTAGATGGTCACACAAATCACGCTGTAAGGTACATTGCGCAAGGACAAGCCAGTCATGTTAAATGCAAGTACAGCCAAAACCATGCTTCAAACCTTTTTTGGGAATGCAACACACAGTGCACTGTCATAGTGCCTTAAATAGCACTGCCAAGCACAACCACATACATGCATTATCGCTAGTTACTGCAAAGCAATAGTGTAAACCTGGCCATAACCTTCTGATGTGTTTATAATTATCCACTTTAGGGTAACATGTTACACACCCTTCTTGTCCAGGCAATTTTCCAGTTTCCTTCATCATGCAACACTGTATCCCAAGTTAATGTCATAATTTTTTTGAGACTGATTTTTTTTTGTGGTATTTAATAACTGGGTTTTTATTGTTTACTTCACATACATGATAAAACACTGAAAATGTGGAAAAAAACAACTGTTTTACGTACTTTCTTGTATAAAATATAGCAAATAAAATGTCAATATGGTATGAACACCCCTAAAGATGCTTTTATTTTTTGCCAAAATATCTGGAAGATGAGGAACCATGCTGGTACTGATGGGTGAAAAAATATAGTTTATGGTGCACTTAGCCATTAAAGTGGTTATGAATCCAAAAGTTAAAAAAAATAATAATCTAAGGATTTGTAAGCTGCAAAATATTACATTTTTGATTTTGGGTTTAACACATCTTTTACCACTTGCTAGGCACTTTCACCCCCTTCCTGCCCAGGCCAATTTTCAGCTTTCAGCACTGTCACACTTTGAATGATAATTGCGCAGTCATGCAACACTGTACCCATATGACAGTTTTATCATTTTTTTTTTAGACAGATAGAGCTTTCTTTTGGTAATATTTAATCACCACTGGGTGTTTTATTTTTTGCTAAACAAACGAAAAACAACTGAAATTTGTTTTTAAAAAAGTTTTTTTTCATAGTTCCTGTTATAAAATTTTGTAAATGAGTAATTTTTCGCCTTCACTGATGTGCGCTAATGAGCCTGCAGTGATGGGCACTAATAGGCTGCACTGATGGGCACTGATGAGGAGGCACTGGTAGGTGGCACTGATGGGTGTTGACAAGCATTACTGTTGGGCATTGACAGACATCACTGATGGGCACTGAAAGGCAGTACTCATATATGGCACTGATAGGCGGCACTGACTGGAACTGTTAGGCGGCACTGACAGGCACTGATATGCGGCGCTGACTGGCACTCATAGGCGGCACTGATAGGTGGCACTGACACTGATAGTTGGCACTGAAAGGCAGCTCAGATGGGCACCGATAGGCACTGATATGTGGCATTGATGTGCACTGACAGGTGGCATTGATGGACACTGACAGGTGGCATTGATGGGGCTACACTGAATATCAGTGCCCTGATGATCAGTGTAGATGTCCCCTCTGAGGAATGCTGATCAGCGTGACAGCTCGTGAGGAGAGGAATGTGGATAACCGGCATTTCCTTATTTACCTGCGATCAGCTGTGATTGGACACAGCTGATCACATGACAGAGCCGAAGTCATTGGCTCTTTCCACTGATCGCCTTGCTGCACACCCCCAGGGGCGCACACGTGCGGTTAGAGTAGGAGGATTTCATATGATGTCCTCCCAGAACGAGGTAGCCGCCATGCTCCCATCATTTCCTTATATGGCAGGCAGGAGGCGGTTAAAGTAAGAGCATTAAGAGGCAGCGAAGTGTGTTTTTATTATGATTAAAAGAGAAATATGGTTTTAAGTAAAATGCTGCATCTGTCCCCTGCAAACTATAAGACCGAGAACTGAGTGATTAAATACATCTGATCACTCAGTTCTCGGTCTTCTGACTGCAGAGAGCTGGAGACTGTCAGTCACTGGCTCTTTCCTCTGTCCCTCCAGTGTTCACTGGAGTGCTGGGCTGTGGAGGGGGCAGGAGTGGCTGACTTAGGCTTTTGGTAGATCAATGAGAGGCTGAGCCAACTGCTGGTCCAGGTATCTGGGTGGATCCCCACTATATGGTTGGGATCTTTTCAGAGCTTGGACTGGTTTTGTGATGTCAGCCAACAGCAGGCTTTAGCCCGCTGTCAGCTGACAAACGGGTCACAGGAGTGCAGAGTGAATTGCACACCTGTGATCCATAGGGAAAGTACAGCCAAAAAAGCTTTGGCTATACTTCTCCTTTAAAAGGAAAACACACGGACATCATCTAGGAAAGAGTTGTACACATATACAATATACAGTATATGTTATATACACATTTACAGGGAAACTGACATAATCTCAGGTTACAAGCAATTGATGTATTATTCTGTCAGCCATACATCATTATGTACAATAAAGGATAAAGAACAAATATATTTCCTGCAGTGTACTGGCCATAATGAAAGCTGGTCAATACTGAAAAACAAAATAAGTCCAAACAAAGAGAATCAGTGCGCTCCCAGTAAAACACAGCAGCATAAATATGTGGCCCCATGGAAGAAGACCCACTTCCATGAGTCCGCATATATGTACACTCGCTGGGAAGGGGTTAGCATAAGCATAATAATGCCAATAGTGGATTGTTTCAGTGAGGACTAGTGTGGATACAATGCTGCTGAGGATAATTTCTCTCTACTCAAGATGGTCAGGCCTAGAAATGCAAGGGGGGGTGTTTTTGAAAGTGTTTCCTAGACAAAATAAAGTATGGAGATATGGATGAGCGAATTTGCTTTGAATATTAAAAATGAAATATGTAGTCGGTTTGTGGTGTCCAGATACAGCTTTGTTTTTAGCTTTAAAAGTCAGCATGGCATCGGCCTCACCCCTGTCCTGATGAAGCCAGTGATGGAGGTTGGAGAAATGTGTCAACATCACAAGTCAATTTAAAAATGACAATTTCCTGCGCTCAGAATGGGCCCTCTCTCTATAGCTGCTGACACTTGCCCTCCTACCAATGTGAGTTAAATCAATACATACATAAATAGTGCAGCACTATATAAATAAAACATATATATAAATAAAATAAAATATATTCAAATCAATAAATGTCTGTGCAACAGTGCAAAAAATATAATTCGTGTGTTCCACCAGGAACCATCAAAAGTGACCATGTGACAAATAAATAAATTAATATACTAATCAATATATATCATACACATGTGCAAAATTGCAAATAAAGTGTAACACGTGTATTACACCAACATATAAAGTGATAACGTGACAAAATATTGCTTAATAAAGTGCAATCAATGTGTTGCCTATACGGGAATATTCAAAGTGACCAAGTGACCTAATAACCTACAGTTGCAAGAAAAAGTATGTGAACCCCTTGGGATTACGTGGAGTTTTGCATGAATTGGGCATAAAATGTGCTCTGAACGTCATCTAAGTCACAACAATAGAAGAACACAGTCTGCTGAACATAATACTACACAAATATTAGATGTTGCCATGGTTTAATTGCACATAACAAATAAACATTCACAGTGCAGGGAGGAAAAAGTATGTGAACCTTTGGACTTAATAACTGGTTGACCCTCCTTTGGCAGCAATAACCTCAACCAAACGTTTCCTGTAGTTGCAGATCAGACCTGCACAACGATCTGGAGTAATTTTGGACCACTCCTCTTCATAAAACTGTTTCAGTGTAGCAATATTCTTGGGATGTCTGGTGTGAATCGCTCTCTTAAGGTCATGCCACAGCATTTCAATCGGGTTGAGGTCAGGACTCTGACTGGGCCACTCCAGAAGGCGTATTCTGTGCTGTTGCAGCCATTGTTTTGTTGAATTACTTGTATGCTTTGGGTCATTGTCCTGTTGCATCACCCATCCTCTGCGGAGCTTCAGTTGGCGGACAGATGGTCGTACGTTTTCCTGCAAAATGTCTTGATAAACTCTGGAATTCATTTTCCCATCAATGACAACAATCCGTCCAGGCCCTGAGGCAGCAAAGCAGCCCCAAACCATGATGCTCCCTCCGCCATGCTTTACAGTGGGGATGAGGTTTTGATGTTGGTGTGCTGTGCCTTTTTTTCTCCACACATAGTGTTGTGTGTTCTTCCCAAACAACTCAATCTTGGTTTCATCTGTCCACAGTATATTTTGCCAGTAGTGCTGTGGAACATCCAGGTGCTCTTTTGCAAACTTCAAACATGCTGCAATATTCTTTTTGGACAGCAATGGCTTCCTCCGTGGTGTCCTCCCATGTACTCCATTCTTGTTTAATGTTTTCCTTATTGTAGATGTGTCAACAAAAATGTTAGCATGTGCCAGAGATTTCTGTAGGTCTTTAGCTGACACTCTGGGATTCTACTTTACCTCATGCAGCATTCTGCGCTGTGCTCTTGCAGTCATTTTTACAGGACGACCACGCCTAGGGAGAGTAGCAACAGTGCTAGACTTTCTCCATTTGTAGACAGTCTGTCTTACCGTGGACACATGAACATCAAGGCTTTTGGAGATACTTTTGTAACCCTTTCCAGCTTCATGCAAGTCAACAATTCTTGATTGTAGGTCCTCTGAGAGCTCTTTTCTGCGAGGCATGGTTCACATCAGACAGTGCTTCTTGAAACCAGTAAACCCAAAACAGGTGTGTGTTTTTTAAGGGCAGGACAGCTGTCAGCAACACATCCAATATCATCACACTGATTGGAGTCAAGGTTGGCTGACTCCTGGCTCCAATTAGCTCTGGGAGAAGTCATTAAGCTAGGGCTTCACATACTTTTTCCTCCCTGCACTGTGAATGTTTACATGTTATGTGCAATTAAACCATGGCAACATCTAATGTTTTGTGTAGTATTATGTTCAGCAGCCTGTGTTCTTCTATTGTTGTGACTTAGATGACGTTCAGAGCACATTTTATGCCCAATTCATGCAAAACTCCACGTAGTCCCAAGGGGTTCACATACTTTATCTTGCAACTGTATATACCACAAATCAACACTCTGTGTAAACATGTCCATATATATATATATATATATATATATATATATATATATATATATATATATATATAGTGTATTCCATACACAATCTTCATGCAGGTGCCATTCAGTGTCCACACTGTGTATATCCAATACTAGCTGCAATGGCCCCTCACCTCCTTACATTGACCCCACAGGGCCAGCTCGCTTTGGGACACAAACCCCACTCCGGTTTATTACAGGATCCTCCTCAGCGATGAATGCTCTATACCCAGCTGTTCCTCCGGTTCCTCTTTATATAGAGCTTAAAGGGTACTTTGCCTCAAGGATCAACCACCACTATGTTGTATTTCCAGATCTCTCCAACCGCTGTACACTCTAAACTCCTCTCCGGTACATACGTAAACAGAAGACTCCCATAGTGTAAAACCGCATTTAATAATTGGTTTATGCAGAAAGAAAATTACTCACATTTTATTTCCTCTTTCTTACAACATATATATGGCTCCTTCACCTCATGCTATGCCTGCCTTGCATGGGTTTGATATAGGGATTTCAAATATGGCCGCCACGCCGGAAATGACGTCACCGTGCTTCCCAGACTCCTCCTCGCGCACCGACGCGTTGCGTCACGCTAAATCACGTGACTTCCTCAGGCAGGCATAGCATGAGGTGAAGGAGCCATATATATGTTGTAAGAAAAAGGAAATAAAATGTGAGTAATTTTCTTTCTGCATAAACCAATTATTAAATGCGGTTTTTACACTATGGGAGTCTTCTGTTTATGTATGTACCGGAGAGGAGTTTAGAGTGTACAGCGGTTGGAGAGATCTGGAAATACAACATAGTGGTGGTTGATCCTTGAGGCAAAGTACCCTTTAAGTTCTATATAAAGAGGAACCGGAGGAGCAGCTGGGTATAGAGCATTCATCGCTGAGGAGGATCCTGTAATAAACCGGAGTGGGGTTTGTGTCCCAAAGCGAGCTGGCCCTGTGGGGTCAATGTAAGGAGGTGAGGGGCCATTGCAGCTAGTATTGGATATACACAGTGGTGGACACTGAATAGCACCTGCATGAAGATTGTGTATGGAATACACTATATATATATATATATATATATATATATATATATATATATATATATATATATATGTATGGACATGTTTACACAGAGTGTTGATTTGTGGTATATAGGTTATTAGGTCACTTGGTCACTTTGAATATTCCCGTATAGGGAACACATTGATTGCACTTTATTAAGCAATATTTTGTCACGTTATCACTTTATATGTTGGTGTAATACACGTGTTACACTTTATTTGCAATTTTGCACATGTGTATGATATATATTGATTAGTATATTAATTTATTTATTTGTCACATGGTCACTTTTGATGGTTCCTGGTGGAACACACGAATTATATTTTTTGCACTGTTGCACAGGCATTTATTGATTTGAATATATTTTATTTATATATATGTTTATTTATTATATAGCGCTGCACTATTTATGTATGTATCACAAGTCAATTCCCACCCACACCAGTTCCATGCTGTGTTCTCTATTCCATGCAGCTAGCCTGCCTTAGGAGGCGGATTGGAGAACTGTTGGGAGATGTAATGAACGGCTGCTTTGGAAACTACACAATTTTGGAATGTGCTTGACTAGTAGTAATAAGGTCACACACTGCTAGATATACTTCTATCTAAGGATCGATATTTGA